GAGCGCGCCCGAGAGGAGCTGGAGCAGACGCTGAGGGCCTTCGAAGGTCGCCAGGTAGATGGGCAGGGTGGAGGGTCGGGAGGGCCGAGGTGCCAGGCATATGGGGGTACACGTGTTCCTAAGGTTTCCTCCCTGTCCCTAGCTTCCCCCAAGTCTTCTACTCCTGCAGTTCCTGGAATCTACCTTCTGATTTAAAAAAGGGCACACTTAGCAATTTGACAGAATAATAGTGGCCGGGGCCTCGTGTGGGGATGCACATGATCCCAGCACTCAGGAGGCAGAGGCAGGAGGGTCTCCCTAAATTCCACGCCAGCCTGACCTACATAAAGTGAATTCAAGGCCAACCTGAACCACATAGCGAGACCCTGTCTCAGAAAAAATGGGGTGAGGGCCGCGGATTTAGCTCAGTGGTTCTGCCCCCTGCTTTGAAAGCACAAGGTCCCAAGTTTGATCCCCGGTACCAAAAAGGTCGGGGAGGGATTTAGCTCAGTGGCACCGTGCCTGCCTTGCAAGCACAAGGTGCTGAATTTAATCCTTGATACCAAAAGAGAAAAAGAAAAAAGAATAAATAAATAGTTAAAAAATTGTGGCAAGGACGCCGAAGAGCCCAGGGCCCTCCCGGGAGGTGCTGTGCCCACCCAGCACCCACTCTCGCCCCAAGTCTGTTTCCAGCTATCCTATTTTGAGAGAGGAACACTCATGTCACCTGTAATTAGGAGTCTAAAGCTGGCTTCTCTGGAGGTGCCAGCCGGCCCGCCCTTTCCTCAAGCCTCTTTATTAACCCTCTGCAGCCCTGAGCATCGGCGAAGGGCCATCCTCAAAGTCCCGTCACTCGCTCACATTTATCAGGGACCACCGTGCGCCCCTGGGCTAGGGTCATGGCTCAGGGTAGGGCACTTGGCCGAGTTCGCCAGGCCTGCAAAAACATAAGTAAATACATAAATGAAATATAAGCCCAGCATGGTGGCACACGCCTGCCATCCCAGCACTCTGGGAGGCTGAGGCAGGAGGATCATGTGTTCCAGCTCGGCCTGGACAACTTAGTAACTTAGTGAAACTCTTCCTCAAAATAAATTTAAACGGTATCCAAAAAATAAATAAATTTTTAAAAAGCTGGTATGCAGCTCGGCGGCGCGAAGGCCCTGGGCTCCGTTCCCAGGGGGAACTGGGCTGCGCCCCTTTTTGCTGGCTCAAGAAAGGGCCTGGGCAGTGGGGGAGAGCAGGCCGGCCTGCAGGGCTCTGGCCCCGCGCTCCTGGCTGGAAGCGCCGGACTGGTCGGCGCTGCGTCCCGGCTCACAGCCCTCCGAGATCCCACATCCTGATAAGACACTGGACTTTGTTAGGAGCTTACTCAGGCGACCCGGCTGGAGATGGAGAACCGAGCGCTGACAGGTGCGCGGGGCCGGGTGGGCAGGGCTGGTGGAAGGGGCCGCGGGGCCCTAGGCCTGCTGCACAGGACGCGCACACCGAGCCCTGGGGAGAGTGTTGCAGCCCGCAGGCGGAGCTCCAAGTTTGTAAATGCCTCCTAAACTGCGCGCTAAAGCGGGGCGACCCGAAAAAAGCTATGCAAACGGCGCGTAAGGGCCGCGCAAACTTCAGCTGGAGCGGAGCCGGCACCGGCCGAGAGGCGGGC